TCTTCTTAGTCTTTTTGTATTTATTATCACAGCGATTATTTAAGTAATAGAGCTTTCAAAATTAAAGAAAATTTAAGAATCTAAATCATTAATTGTGTTTTTTGGAAGCAATTCTGTCTATTCAGCTTTTTGATCATCTCCATACATTTTCTTATTTAAATTTGAAAGAGAGTTAGTAAAATTTAAATTTATTTCTTCTTTTAAAGTTGATTTATTGACTTTATTCAATCCTAATTATGATAATTTGTTTAAGGCTTCTTATAAAATCATAATACTTTATAACTTTAATTCTTGATTCCATTACTTCTATTATAATGAGATTATATCTTCTCTAATTTTATCTTCTATTATATTTATTTCATTTATTTCTTACTTATTGAGTATTAAATTAGGATATTTATCAAAGTATTCTTGTATCATAACTTTTCTTTCAAGAACTAAGCTTTTAATTTAATCTGTAGCTATGCTCTCGTTTTCCAAGAAATTAGTATGCTAATTTTTATTGTTAAAATACTATTTTGCAATATTGTCTTCATATTGTAACACATTTATTTTTTGTTATTAAATTCTTAATAATTTCTTGTAAAATTTAAAAATTAATGCAATTTCACTGCATCTTTTAATATTTTTTCCAAATTCGTTAAGATTATTAAATTCCCAATATTTCTCTACCCAATCAGTAGAATAAACCTAAAGAATTTAGTTCGATAAATTTTTAATTAAGGCAGAGTTATAAAATTGAATTAATTATTCTGATATATCTTTTTGTGAAACCTACTCTTAAGGAATTGTAAGGGATATTTAGGAATCAATTTATTTGATATTGTTTTTTATTTTTTTTATGTTACAAATGAAATTGATTAAGAAATTATTAATGACTTATATAAAAATTTCCAATTCTTACTGATACTTTATGAATGTCTGTTTTAATTATGTCTTTTAAACATATTTTACATTATTTTCATCTAAAATTATATCCTCGTAAGAGATTAAAATTTGAGTAAATTAAATTATTAAATTGGGTAGCTGTTGCAATTACTTTACTAATCTATTTTCAGCTTCAACTCTTATTTCATTTAAATTAGGCATCTATTCTATATAAGTTTTATCCTTTAACAGTCCTAGATTCTTCTCATTTGATCTCAAAATTTATTCAATATTATTGATTATTTCGGTTTCCTTAATTCTAATAATATCTATCTCATAGAATATATATAGTAGTTACAAAAATGAGTCTTTTTACTGAATAATAAGATAGTGAATATCTTGTTTATAAATTTTTATTTCAGTTTTATTTTACATTGAGATTACTTCATCTTTAGAAGTTTAATTATCTATCAAATTAAAATTTTCCTTGATTTTTGTGTAGCAATTTAATAAGGCTATTTGTAATGAAGAAAGAATTTCCAAATCATCAATATTTGTGAATAAACAAATTTTTAAATCTTGTAAATTGATTTAGCTTTGTTATTATGAACTAAAATCAAAATTTAAATACTATGAGAATAATTTTATAGAATTAACTTGTTCATCTAACAAGTACTCCTAAAATAATTTTAAATTTAAAAATTTTTGAATAATAAATGTCCCTCTCCCAGAATATTTTACTTTTCCTTTTAGTCTTATCATAAGGCATTAAAACAATTTAATTAGAAAAAATCAATTAATTCCAGCTAATATGATGTTTTTGATTCAACATCTATTCAACTTCAGCTCGATAAATTATTGGCCTATATGACATTAAACCTGAGATTAAATTAATCCAACAAAAATGAATTAACCAATTTTATGAAGCTCCTATATATTTATTATATCCATCTGTAAGTTAATTTATTGTTTGTTTAACTGAATAGCCTTCTTTTAATTAGAAAATTATTGACCATTTCAAATTAAAAAAAAAAAATAATAAAGCTCAGATATTTTCAAAGGATTCTTAATTTACTTGTCATAAAAATTAAGCAATAGATATTTTCCAGCTTCCATAAGAGCATCTAGAAGTTCTTCACTAGGTTTTAATTATGATATAGAAGAGGCTATTCCAAATAATACTGCTTTTATTAAGTTCGTGCCTGTTTCTGAATTAGTTTGTAAATGTGCAATACAAATTTTTATCATCTAAAGCTCAAAATCAGTTCCTGTCAGCCATATTTTTGATGATTCAACAGATATTTATTCTTCAATTTCTGAAATATATTCTTTTAATTTTTATTATAGGACTTCCTACATGTATCTTTCTTCATTTATTTGTTAATAATAACATATAACTCTAAGTAAATGATTTCACTTATTAAAACCATATATAAGTCTAGTGTTTACTTGTTTGAGATCCTGAAATTCAACTAATTATTCATAATTATCATAAAAAATTTTAATGGGATAATAAATAAGATATAATCATTTATAAATTGTTACTATTGTCAAATCTTTAATTGTTAAATGGTGATTTTGAAATTTTATTTTATTTATTAAAATCTTTTTAAGAACAAAAAGTTTTTCTAATTATTATTCTTAGATTATATAACATGTAAAAGAAGGAATAACACTTTTGAGTTGACATTTTAATTATATTTCCTTACTAAAAGTTAAGCAAAATTAAA